GCCCTTTCCTGGTTGACAATTAGGGGTGAACAGAACCCCTAAACCCAAAACCCCTAAACCCCCCCAAACCCCTAAATCCCTGAACCCTAAACCCTAAACACTAAACCCCCCAAACCCCTAAATCCCTGCAGGTCCTGGAGAAAAACTTCTCCGAGGCCCAGCGCGCTTCGCTGGAGCAGTGGCCAAGAACCCAGGGCTTAGGGTTCAGGGTTTGGGGTTTAGGGAAAGTTTCGGGTTTGGGGTTCAGGGTGTAGGGTGTAGAGAAGATTAGGGGAAGTTCGTGCTTAGGTTTTGGGGGAGTTTCGGGTTTGGGGTTTAAGGTGCAGGGTTTAGGGAAGATTCGGGTCTGGGGTTCAGGGGTGGCGGGGGTTGACCTAAGTTATAGGATTAGGTAGGTAATAACCTATAGGCCCCTACAATTTCTTGTCTAGACAACACTAGTGTTATAGGTAACATCCATAGCCCGGTCTAGGATGCTCCTTGGAGAATTTCAGGGACAGGGATCTCACCCTGCATGCCGGACAATATCAGCACCCTAAACCTTGAACCTTAAATCATAACCCTCAACCCTGAATCCCAGGCACTGAACCCTGGACCATAACCCTGATCCGCGGTGACTTCAGGCAAGGTGTGTTTAGGTTAGGGGTACTGTAGCCCCCAATATGAGTCAGATGGTATCCTCCATTCTTTCTTTTGTAGCGTTTTACAGAGGAATCAGATCTTACTATGTCCAGGAATTGCATTGAACCATTCTGTCATCAGTCAGAGCGGTCGTGGGAGCAAGATCCATGCAGCGTGACAGACTCCCGATAATTGTAATGCTACGGCAGCAATCGCATGGTGATAGTGGCATCTGCTATAGTTGTGGTAGCACGCTCGTTCTTTCGGCTATGATTACGTGTATTATCCATTTTCTTATCAGCTGACTGCAATCCAACTGGAGATGTGCTTGTTACAAGCTGTTCTTTGGATGCCGCCAAAGCGCGGTGAAATTTTAAACCAAAACCTACACCCTTAAACCCTACTTGCTGCACCTTATAGCCCGAAACCTTTATCTCCACACCATATTTTTTTAAACCTTAATCCTTAAACCCTAAGCCCTAATCTATACTATACCAAAACCTTACTCTCCACACCATATAACCCTAAACCTGAATCCCTAAACCTTAAACACATTTAAACACTATAGCCTTGCCACAGTTGCATCCCGAGGATGCTCCGGCAGCGGCCTGGCATGAACTTGGCGAGCCAAGGCTTGCGGTTGAACTGAGATTTTGTCAGGTTGCAATCTGATTGTAAACGGGGAATTGTGGGACTGGTCTGGGATTTGGGGTTCACGGGTTCACGGATTCAGGGGTTTAGGGTTTGGGGGCTTTAGGATTTAGGATTTAGGATTTAGAGTTTGGGGTTTTTAGTTTAGGGTGTAGGGGTTAGACCTTAACATTGGTATGGGTGGTGCTGGTGGTGGTGGAGGCGGTGGCGAATGCAGTGGCGACGGCAATGGCGGCGGCAGTGGTTGCGGTGATTGCGGTGGCCGTGTGGCGGCGGTGGCGGCGTTGCCGTGGTGGTCAGTCCTGCATGGTCTCAAATGCATAATTCCCAGCTATCACAATGTATATCTACAAGGTGGTACCATAATGTCTTGAGGGTCAGGATTTTGTCTAACAACCATGGTAAGTATTTTTCATCAGCAATATTTGTTCCGTTGGGAGGATGTGCAGCAGTAAGCCCCCGATAAGGTTCACAGAAGGGGTGCTTGTATTTGGATCCTTCAAGATAGAAAGTTGATGGAGTAGGAGTCAGCGAAATACTTCAAAATGCTTCAAACGCACACGAAGACATTGAAGATGACTGACAGTCATTTATGCATTCTGTATCAGGCCAACCTTCGCAATTGAGTATGTGATGGTTTATCCCTATTTCATGTTGTAACAAGAAAAAGTTCCGGAGCGAACGTAGAAGATTCACACGCTTTAGGGCGTCGTAGGGTTGAGGAGATGTTATTCATCTTCTGATTTCCTGCTACATGGCTGATGACGAGAGAGGTCGAGCATGTCATGGAGCGATTTTTCCTTGTTTCTGAGGAGAAGATTTTCGCGCAAGGCTTGAATAAGTAGCGGGTGAGCTGAGGTTTTACATTGCCTTAACATGCTTCCTCTTGGGCTGGTAGCTCGCATAGGCCAGATTGTTGCACGGTCCTCAACTTTTGTTGTTGCAACACCCTGGAGCTCGAAACGCAATTTCACAAGCCCTGAGGATACATTTTTTTCACTAGCACCAAAACGCCAAAAAAAAACAAAAAAGAAATGGAGGATCACAAGACCCGTCAGTGTCAGGCATGATAAGCCTTGAGATGCCATCGCAAATCATCAATCGCGGCTGCTTGCTTGGCTTGCAGTTTGAAGAAGGAAAGATAGGGCCCTCCTGGGTGCGCAACTCCTTGAGTACTCCGAACTCCTCACCCCAAACTTCCTGGGTTGCTGTTCCGGAATTTGAATGAAATTACTATAAGGCGGAAACCCTACTAAGTGCTTCATACCCATCGTGTAGTAACTTAAGTTCAGTTCCTTAACAGCAATCCAGACTCTGTTCTTTAGATTCTTCAGCATGCTTTCTGTGAGCGTTCATGCAGTCTGGAGCAGCGGAACTGGCTTTGGTGGACTTGGTCATTATGGTGTAATTTACTGCGAGATGACATGGCAGTCTCAGTGTTTCTGCTCGATCATGATCGTAGCAACATTAGTATGGTGACAAGATGATAGTTTCAAAGTGACCCATCCAAACTCCTTTTAGGGGGTTATATAAGGGAATATTAGCGGACTAGTCTAGGGCCCCTAAACCCTAAACCCAAAACCCTTATTAAGAGGGATGTTAGGAGTTTAGACTATGGCTCAAGTGTTGATATGCAGCCTTTCTAGGTGCTTGTCCAGGGTTTAGGGTTTAGGGTTTAGGCGCAATCACAGATATCCGGGAGGCCTCTTGAAGTAAGGGCTGACTATTGTAACGCACCATGGGTTAATTTCTTGTTAGTTCATTTATTGATTAAAAATTCCATTAACTAGTTAGGTAGATCGTCAATTAATTAGTCAATTGACAAGGCCGTGTTAGCACAGGGACAGCGATGGGTTAAAGACTCTCCTAACAGATGGCTTCACAGGTTTATGCACAAATATTCCTTGCAAAAAGTTAGCAGACTTTGTTCGTCCACAGAAGGACCAGCACATTGTTCGAGTATCATGTGCCCGAAAACCCAAGTACAATTATTTAGCCTCCTACGTTATACTGCTTAGCTGCCATGCAACATGCTCAGATACTTTCCGTGGCTGGAACCCTCCCCGACGCGGCGGCGCCTCAAGCTCAGAACAGTGCTTTGCGGCTACTCCAGGGTTGAGATGATAGAGTATTGGGGGTTATATTATAGGGTTATATTGGGATAATGGAGAAGAAAATGGAAACTACTATTTAGGGTTTAGGGTATAGCCCCAGGGTTGAGATAATGGAAAGGAAAATGGAAACCACTAAAGTATACTTGGGGTAATATTGGGATGATGGAAAAGAAAATGGAAACTACTATAGTATATTGGGGTGATATTGGGATACTGGAAAAGAAAATGGAAACCACTATAGTATGTTGGGGTGATCTTGGGATAGTGGAAAGGAGAATGGAAACCACTAGAGCATACTTGGGGTAATGTTGGGATAATGGAAAGGAGAATGGAAACCGCTAGAGTATATTTGGGGTAATATTGGGATAGTGAAAAGGGAAATGGAAACCACTAAACTATACTTGGGGTAATATTGGGATAATGGAAAATTTGGCGTTCAAACTGTCTAGGAAAGACGGGGCCAAGCCCTGAAAGCCTCCTCAGTGCAGCGTCCTCGCAGCTATGTACATGCATGCGTGAACCCGACCCCGCAAAGATCCTACGAGGCGGAATCGACAGCCTATGTGTTTCATAGCCTTCTCGATGTGGTTCCGATACTGATGCTTGACGATTGCCATTCTAGAGAATTGACTCGAGGCTAACGTTCAGCGAAGGCAAAGGTGCAGCTTGCTCCTAACATTCCCCAATGTGCTTAACGCCAGAAGGGTGCGAACATGCATGAGCTTCAAAGTGTCCTCCTCTTTCCGATCCGCAGAGGCAGCGACAACCATCTTGCTGGATAGATGAGAATGCAGCCATACAGTGCTTGTGTGGGCAAATCAAAGCATGCCTGTCCTGTTTCCTGCAAAGTGGACTTGTAAAATTGCTACAGCTCTGCGACGGCACTCGCCATGATGACGCCTGGGCCAGACCATCGCCAGGTCCAGAATGCAAGTCAGAAAGCTGAGAAGGACCAGGAATACACGAGTTCCAGTGAGCCAGAACTTTCGAGTTCTAGTGGGCCAGATGGGCTGGAAGCTTCCAGCTCCAGCGGGCCAAGTGACAGTGACTCGGCACTTCCAAGGTCAATAGATATTCTGGCGCGCCTTGCACCATTGTACCTCACTTGCTTTCTGGGACGCTTGACTCGCGCACTGGCAGTCGTGTCCATTCCTCTCTATGTCCTGGATCTCGGCGGCAGCGCCGCTGCTGGGTTGCATCAATTGAACTTCAGGAAAGTGCGTAGTATGCGCATGACCATAGTAGGGTAAGACGAGTAGCCGGTGTGATACGCATAGTTGTCAGAAAGCGGGGGGAAGGCCAGAATATGCCAAATTTGGGAATGGGTAGCTGTTGAGGGCGGAGAGGGTGGTGGTCATGTACCACCCCTGGCGGGCTTGGGGCATAGGTGGCAAGGAAACCCGTTTCCCTTCAACCCCTTTGCAGCGAAGCAAACGGAAAATGAAATGCAAGCTACTATTTAGGGTTAAGAGTTTAGGGGATAGAGCATGTTTGCCATCGATTCACGCATTTCTTTTAGTAGAATTTCTGTCGCCAGTGCGTTGTCATTGCAGAAGCTGAACTCCATCTTGGCATATGCGGTTAGGATCTTTTGTGATTGTCATAATCATGGTTTTGATCCTGATGCAGTAATGTTGGACAGTACCCTAATGTTGGGCAGTACCTTACATATACTTGGTTAGTCTTAGCGTTATTATTACCACTACAGTTACTGTTGTTTTTACTCGTACCATTAATGTTGCCATGCCTCTTCTTCTTCTTGTTACTGTTACTGTTACTGTTACTACCATTTCTAGCATAAGCACTACTTTCTTTCTTATCTTGAATACTTGCATTTCTATTGCAGTAGTGATTCAGCCAAGGCAGATGTTGGCATTCTGGCCTCCCTTTATGGCCTCGGCTTCATGTTGGCAAACATCCCCGGAGGCAAGCCGGAGGTATACTTTGGGTGGGGTTTATGGAGTTTAGGGTTTAGGGCGACAGGGTTTAGGAATTGAGCTACTGAATCTAGGGTTGTATGGGCACTGCTTGCTGGTAGTTTCCATGCCCCCAACATAGATCCCACAATGCGATATTCCTTATTCTAGGAACCTCAAAAGGAGACTTCTCATTTTTGGAAACCCGCTCAGGGTTATTGCTCGGTACAGGTTTGGGTTCGGGGAAACTTCCGGGGTACTCTAAACTCTAGATGCTCACGAGAGTAGTATTTTTGCTTTTTATTTGGGGATACCCTATATAGAGTATGATTCTATCCTCCTTTTGGGTACCGTATTTTATATACAGAATATAAGTTCAACCACCAAAAAAAAAAGACACTGCTCAGGAGGCCTAGAGGCTTATAGGACTACTGCTGGTGGGAGTTTGGGTGGACACAGAAAGGAAGGATGGCTCGGCCATCAAAGAGCAGCTGCTTGCTTGACCACAAGTAACGCGTGCCCAGAAGGAGAGTCCCCTTATGACCCCACCATGGCATGATCCCCATTGCAGGTATCTTGCTGCCGTTGGTTGGAAGCAAGTGCTGCATCCTTTTGTCTTGCACGTGTTATGCGCTATCGGCGGGAATCTGCTTTCTGCCCCACATCGCAGTGCTGATGGCCTCTCAATTCTTCTTGGGCCTGGCAAACTCCTTGATGCTTGGCTTTTGCCAAGAGCACTTGTGACTTTCAATCGTACGGCTGAATACCTTTGAGGAAAACCGGGCACAGTAGGATGGCTTAAGATGGATTAGTTCCAGCAGACATGAACATGCAGCATACCGTTTGGCAGGAGCGTCCTCTCGCAACAGACCTATATAGGAAGTCATACTCCCACTGTGCGCCGTGGCTTTGCGTTGAGCATGATGGGAGGCCTGCAACGTTGGGGTTTGATGGTGGGCCCCTCACTGGGCGCTTTTCTGCAAGAATCTGTCCTCGGCATCCATGCCGTATTCTTTGCGCAGGTTGCGTGCGCCGGCTTGGCGGCATTAGTCACAGTTAGCTGCTTGAGCAGAGCGGAGGAAGAGGCGACAGGCAAGAAGAGCGACAAGACGAGCGGTATTCTGGATGCCAAAGATGCCATTAAGGAGAACGGTGGGCGGCTTGTTCGTGTGCTGGGCTTGGCTTTTGCAGTCCAGTGTGTCCGCAAGGGCCGCGAGTTGTTCTTCTCCTTGTCCGGCCGTGAGTCAGGGATTTCCGACATGTTCATTGGCCAAATTACGGCCTTGTCCTTTGGAATTGATGCACTCACCTCTCCCCTCGCGGGGTATCTCATGGATTCCTATGGCCGGCGCATCGCTGGAGTTGCGTCGCTGTCGCTGCACTCACTGGGCCTCAGTATTTTGGCCCTTCACAGTGTTGCAGCCGTAGTAGCCTCAGCTGTTCTGACAGGCCTTGGCAATGGCTTAGGCTCTGGGCTTCTCATGACCCTGGGCTCGGACCTGGCACCTGCGGGACCCGGGCGTGGAGCTTTCTTGGCCGTCTACCGGCTTCTCTTCAACAGCATGGACTTCATAACGCCAGGGGTCCTTGGTGCCCTGACCAGCTTCAGTTCTCTCCAAGCGGCCGAGCTCACTACAGGCACCTTAGGGAAAAACATAATTCATGTCCAGCCAGTCTTCAAGTTTGGTATCCCCCTAAGTACTTGTAGCTCTTCTAAGCTGAGGTGCTGTTGGCTTGCTCGGCATCCTTTGGGTGCTGCTCTGTGTGCCAGAGACGCTTAAGAAGCAAGAGGCAGCCCCTCAAAGCAAGGAGACGCAGGCGGTGTAAGATGCTGCACAGCATCAGACCTCAGAATTGTGTTGCAGAACATCCTGCAAAGACGCCGCCATCATGTCCATGAAGGGAGGAAGGCTGCTCTTTTCGAATTGCCCGCTGTTTGCAGTGCTCAGAAAAGGCAAAGGTACTGCTTCTAATTTTACGTGCAATGAAAACGATAACTACTGTCGTAGCAACAGTTTTCAAGTGTTGTTGTGCCACTACTTCGAGCAGCGTTGGCAAGTGCCACCATGCTGTGTCACCTGCTCCGGTAAAAAGTCGGGAGCCCCAGACCGAAACATGAGAAATCATTCCGTAGATCTTATGAATTACTGTCAATATAAGGGTTATCTCGGGACCGTCAAGGGTTGACATGGGAGGTCCCTTTGGTAGTTTACCCTAACATTCCCTTATGAGAACACATGTCCATTAAGTATGTTGGAAATATTGACATTGACTGTAACTCATCTCAACAAGCTTAGAGCATCGGAATGCGCATTTCTTGCCTTCTTTTGTTGCTTGACTGGGTTACACAACAGAAATTGAGAAGAACCCCAAGTGTCATGACAATGTAGCCAGACTGCTGATAGTGGCAATCCAGCTGCTAACCCACAATCGCAGGCGTGATGACCCTAGCGGCACCATGCGCACGGATCACGGTCATCCCTTCCCCCAATATTCTGNNCCCCCCCCCCCCCCCCCTCCATTGCAAACATGCTTTAATGCTGTAACGGAGAACATCTGCCATATTGGGGGGTTTCCTTACACCTCGTTTCGTTTGCTTGGAACCTGATAGCCCAGACCTCCAAAATAGTTTCCAAAATTAACCCAGCAGGAATCATATGATGAATTCTATCCGGGTTATTTTGGGGCTGTTGCGGGTCTATATGGGGGATCTACTTTTTAGTTCCTAGGGGTCTGACAAGGCATTGTGCTAAGCTCATTGCCGAGGTTGCTCCCAAACGGCTTCGGGCTTCGGCTTGATGGTGCTCAGGCCTCTGCCTGCATGCTCTGTTACAGAATGACGATAGAGGGGGATGTAAGAGAAAATAGAAACTACCATTTAGGGCTTAGAAGTTAGGATTTGGGGCTTAGAGGGATGGACAAATGGAAACTAGTTTCGGGTTTCAGGGCTTGATGTAAATCATGTCTGCATCATCTGATATGAAACAGCATGCAAACAGTCCGACTCAGCTTCTGCGGGTTGAGGCAGGCGGCTTTTACGCCACCCACCAGCCTCACTTCATTCGCTCAAGCCAGGTGCCGTGTCCCCAGCAAGTTCAACAAACTGGAGGTAAGAAACTGGAAACTACTACATTATAATAGTGTATCTATTGGGGTTATAGGAGGGAATAAGGGAATGGGTCGCAGACAAGACTCTCCGGTCAGGAAGCACGAACACTCTAGCAGATGCATTCGGAGTCTAGCTAAGAAAGCCAAAGCTCGAGATGTGAGGATTGACAGAGCGCAGTGTAGATAAGTTCTTAATCGGAACTGCAAGTGCAGCGTGCCTTCAGCGCCATCTGAGTTTACAACATCTCCTGACATGCAGCAGAACAGTAACAAGTGCTTCTTTTTGTCAAGGTGCTGGGTATCCACCTGACGCTTCCCCCATGGAGTCCTTGAAGAGGTGCAGCTACAGTGGCACGATACGATGGGGGCTCTAAACAATTACCAAGATTGTGTGCTACATTCATTGTAGAAGTATGGTATGGGATACTTCAACCAACAGGCTGCAAAATCCTTTTGCTACTTATTTAGGCCCCTGTATTATCCGTCTAACATTTCATTTATCGCTGGGCTGCTTGGGGACCGAACTTGGACGTTTACATGCAGTGACGCAGCCGCGCGCATGTTCAAGGGGAAGGGCAAGTGCAGCAGCCCAAGATCCTGCCCTACAGGCCCATTGGAAAGAATAATCGTGGTGAGTCATCTGCCTTACCCTACCGTACCTGCATTTTTAGGAAGCTTAACATCTAAGAATCTAATAAGTTACTACCACAGCATGAGCACTTAGATTTTTGACAACTCATTGCCATTGCGGAGGCGTGTTTGAGGACCAGCTGCTAGAGTATACCAGCACATCTGCATTGGATGAAATCTGATGTAGGCAAGGGCGAAACAATGGCGAAGCAATCACGGTTCGTGAGCTAGTCCTGTACTCTGTTGCAAATGGTGGAGTGATTTGTCTGCTCAATTCCGTTAACGAATGAGACCTTA